TTTGTTGACATCTCTGAAAAATCGATAGCGAGAGGTGGAGTCACGCATCGATCGATGAGAGACGGTGGCGAGCGGGGAGCGGGGAGCGGTGAGCGGGCGAACGCGTTCGCTATCGTTTTTTGAGAGATGTCAACAAACACACCATTTTGCATGCTGCCGAGTCCGGCCTTCCGCTCCTCCGTGCACTTATTGGCTCAGACGTTTTTCTGAATTCGGCCGATAATAATTACGATTTTGTAAAATTTTATATAACTTTTCTTCTCAGTTTAACCCAATCTACTATAATCTTTGGGGTCGTCCATATCGAATCAAACACCCTGTATATTTACTTCTTGGTTTGCGCGTAAAAAAATTCATGGCTAAACAAAACTTGGCTTTAAACTGCGCCAAAAGTTTGTGACTGCAATTTATCGGGTACATCACGGAATATTCTATTTGCGGAAACGTTTGTGATTATTTAATTACAGTTTTTATGTATATTCTTGTAAATAGGATGTCCTGCGGTAATAGACTTAAATCTCTCAAAATGCCGATACAAATTCCTTGTGTTTATGGTCTTTCGTTTAATAAAAATGTTTAAGTACTTTTTGAAAACTTTTCGAAGCGACTATACGAAAAGCGAGCAATTTTCCGCAAACCCTTTAAACATGCGAACGCAGTCTCTGCAACCTAGCGAATCAACACTACAACCGATTGCTCTTCGATAAACTTTCTTATCATTAAAACCCATGCATTCAATGATAGAAGTCCTTTGCGTTTGAATGTATCGACGCCAATCACCGTATTCCTGTCATTATACTCTTCCCCCTACTTCTCGTTTAATTTCAATGAATATAGTTGAATCTGAATTTAGAACTTGGTCATTGAGGTACTTAATGTCAAAGATAACGAGATAAATGAGAAAGAGACAACACGGAACAGTGAAGTTTTATTAAGAAAAATGTCCTCGGTCGAAGAACAAACTTAAAATGGACATGCAGTCCAATTTCCATTTTTCGTATCATCAAGGAATTCGACTTCGGCTTTTATTGAGACGAAGGTTGAAGATTCCGGAACATCCTATACATTACGGGAAAAAAATAAAGGACGAGGCCATCTAAACGTGATCAACCAGCAAGCGAGAGAGAGAGAGAGAGAGAGAGAGAGAGAGAGAGAGAGAGAAACGAGGTCGAGACGTTTCTTCGTGCAAAATAAACGAAAGATTTTACCACAAGGAAAATTACAATGCCAAGCATTTACGATAAAGATCTCGGCGTATGTCGGATATGAAGTCGTATTATTAAATTAAAATAATCGAATGTCTATAAGTTCTTTTCATATTGATATTTTAACATTTTAAAGAAGCCACAAACAAGGGGTTTATCGCACCTCAAAAAAGTGTACACTATAATTGCCGAAAATGGTAATAAATATCTGCAGTTATTATCCTTATTTCCTACATTACCTAGGTACTTATTTTGTTTAGAACGTTCAGAATTGTGAAATTTTTTGTCAAGCAAAACTCATCTTCTAATATTGTCTAAGTTACACTGTCTTATTAATGCCGTTTATTGCCTAAAATTTACACCTATTGCCGATACGGTAGACCCCTTGGCCCCAAATCTTTCGCCAACGACGAAGGGTATTGAGGAATTTCCAACGGTGACTAGACGAGACTCGAAAGAAGACAATGAAAGGTATTCGCAAAATGATGCAACAGTTCAGAAAACGTTCAAAGGTCGAAACGTCTGAAACGTTTCGGATGAAGGAGAAGCAAAAGAGAAAGAGCAATACCTTCGGCAGAAACAGAAAAGCAAAAACGCAAAAGAAAATGTATGTTTGAATAGATAATACCCTTTTACTATTTTGTATATTAAATACGTGCCCAGTGAGAAATGATTCATCGATCGATGTCGAATCGACGTCAATTTGACGGTGTTGATGTCGACTCGACGTGTCATTTCTCGCTGGGTTATTTTAAGAAAACTGTTTAACCAGTCCTCACAAAATCCACCGAAACCGTTTCGTAAATCTTCAACGACTCTCTTGGAATATTTTAGGGACGCTCGATACCGCGCGGAAAACTCGCCCACGTTCCAGACGTCTCGACCTTTCGAACGGTTCCTAAACTGTGCATCATTTTACGAACATCTTTCATTGCGAGTTTCTTGCGAGTCTCGTTTCGTCACCGTTGAAGCTTCCTCGGTGTCCTTCGTCGTTGGCGAGAGATTTCCAGGCCTCGCCCGTCAACGTCGGCTGCTCCAGAACTTTTGTCTCGGCTCACGTGTGAAAAGCGTGAAAAGCAAGGGGATCGATTTTTCGCTGGAAAAACCTACGAATGATCCAAGTATCGACCAAGTCAGTCCCGAAGTCCGCGAACGTCTCTTTCTTTTTCGTGTACCTAGAAAATTCTGGAAAAATTCTGGTCTACTCTCCCGCTGTTTCGAACAGTACGCTGCGAGGGGGAGACACGAGGGGCATTGTTGTGCCTCAGCCTCCAACGAGCCGAGCCGGCGACCGTTACTGCCGCCGGTGCCGGCGGTGTCCGCCGCATCTGGCTCTCGGGACCTGGCAACAGCCCCACACTCCAACGGTGGGAAACACGTTGCCGGTGCACGTCGAACGACGCCAAGCTCCCTGAAACACCGCGAGCTTCCGCGGAATATCGCGACGCGCGTGGCGAAACACGCTAACGCCGCGATGCTCCTCGCATCGACCGATCAAATAAATAAAACAACGACTTGGCGTGACTCTATTGTTATTATAGTCTCTATAGACTCGCACGCGGCGTCGACGCGGAAAGAAAGTTAAATTAGCAGATTAATATTTTCTCGTCCGTTTTGTGCGTTCCTTTTTAATACACTTTCTTTTAACAGAGAAAGATCCGAGAGAGTTGGAGCAAAAAATGTGGTATTCCTCCTTCCCCCCCCCTCTCTCTCTCTCTCTCTCTCTCTCTCTCAGTTCGCTTCTCTTTTTCTTTGTATTTCTTTTAGACCGCGCCATCATTACACATATTACGGTAATGTCGATTACGAGCAGCTTTTCGAGATAAGTACGCGTGTATAAAATAAGTGGTTCGTTTACAAGCAGCTTTTCAAGATAAGTACGCGCGTATAGAACAAGTGGTT